GTTGTAAACTAATTTAGGGCCAATTTCTGTGCCAATTTCAGTGCCAATTTCTGCGTATTTTTTCATCAACTATTCTGATAAATTCGAGATAAATTTTATATTTTTTTTCTAACAGCTGCTTTTTTCTGTTAGTTTTTTATAACTACCATTAAGAAAATAATAAAAATAAATCTTACAGTTACTGTAAAAATATTCACAAGGAAAATTTGATAACATAAATTTAAAAAAAAAAAAACAAACTTTCTTCCAAGTTTAAACGAAGATTCATGATGCATTTCACACTTAGTCAGTTCCTTATAAGTCATGTTATATTACTTAGCGTGTCAGATGCTGAAACAATACGAATTCTGAGTGATATGCCGTGATGGTAATGCTAATGCTTCCTGGTCTCGATAACTAACTTTGTTTGCTAGCGAAATAAACTTATCTTAACATTTATCATTGTCAGCACCTATGCCTGGCAAATTGTCGCTCTAAAGAAAAGAATAATTACTAAAACAAAACAGTTGCGTTTAAACAGATTTCATTAGCAAATTGCATGACGTAGTATGCATTTTAAACCGATTGGTCTACTTCTGCTTCAGTAGTAATTCTAATGAATATACTTTATCAATAGGTTTAACAGAAGCATCGAATGTAAAAGCACCTATAAACAATAAGAACCATTTGTTGATTTCATCAATAAAAACCAATTTATTTCGATTTCCGTTGAATACCTCAATAATCAAAAGTGTTAAAATAAAAAAAAAATTATACAATATAGTGACTCTTCTCTTTCTCTTCAAAAATTTTAATTTCTATCATTTTACTATGCTGAAGTAAGCATATTTAAAAATTTTCTTAAGAATAGATATCTAATAGGCAAATGCTGATAAAGTAAAGACATACTAAATTTGAACAAGTAATTGCTATACACATAAAAACCAATTTTTAAGCAATTTTTTTGTGCACCGTCTTAGTTGTAGTTTTATCATTCAGAATTATTAAATTATTGCAGCTTCAAAATAGTTCTTTAGAAAATGTGTTAAATTTTGTACAGAAATGCAGAGAACACAAAACTAAAGTTAATAAAAACTCTGTTTTTAAGGTTATAAAAAAGTATTTGCAAAAAGTTTAGTAGTTTTGGCATTTATCTTGTTGACTTATCACTAAATGTTAGTTTTGGAACTTATTGTACCAGTTTTTAAGCGTAAAAGTTGCCCTAAGTTATTATGGTTACCGAGTAAAAACTTTGAAGTTTAGTAAAACACAATTTTAAATTATACGATGCTATAACAATAAATAATTGCAGTTGTGGAAACAACATATCCAAAAAAGAATTTTGCCAGGAAGAATTCGTTATTTACCTCTCTATAAATCATTTTGTTGCTCCGATGTTCACTCGTGGTACCTGTGCTGAAACATCCGTTCAAATTCTGAAATTGGAATCCCTATTGAGCGCTGTATAACTGCACAACGACCGTAGATAAGCCAGTTTACAAAAACATCGCTACCGCCCTGTAAACTGGAATTTCTAATTTTAGAAACCTCGACTTTCAGCAATCCGTCAATCTTCTATTATTCAGCTGTCTGTCATTATCGGCTTTCAACAGTTTTCTTAATTTCATTACATAAAATTTATTCGCGTTCACCCAATAGATACTTATAAGGTTATTTTTTGCACTACAAATTTTTGTAATCTTTTAATCGTTTATTTTGTAACTGGATTTAAGCGTTGAGCGTATATACACTTCATTAGAACAAGGGAATCAGTAGTCACCAATAATTTTACACTCTCATTGGGTATTACTTTTTTGGTGCTCGTAACTCCTGAAATGAGAAAAAAAGAATCTTTCTTTGGCAAAATATTGAATGTGAGAAAGAAATAGAGGTAAAATACCATCAGCCACAGTAAATTCGATTCTTCACCAATAATTATAAAATGATTTCCATCTCTTTGACTGTTAATAAACCCCCGGACAAATACATATTTTAACCAGAATCAAGGTCAGCGAGACACGAACTATAGCGGCAATCCCAAAAGTTTACGACGAAATAGTTCAAAAACTGAACGTGAATAAACTGAATAGTTTTATTGAAATATAGCTTGCTTCTCAAATTATTATGCCTTTTAAAAGATTAAGGTTACAAAACAAAGTGCAGTGTTTATTAGCAACAAATTATTATGCGAAGAGTATCAAAAATTCGTATTAGACGTTTGTATACGGCAGTTTTTACTTCTCAAACAGAATGAATCTGCATCAATCAATGCTAAAAAAGAACAGTTTTTCAGGATACTTTGAACTGTTTACCAGTCATTTATAAGCATTTAGTGTTTTTAGTCGTCATATTTACTAAAATTATACCAATGCTCAAGAAAGAGCTGTTTTTTAATTGTGAGTGACCGTTTTATCATGTCTGCCTGTTTTTTTCACAAATCT